TGACCAGCCCCAGTCAGCAATCTGGCTGCAAACTTTCCTGACACTTTTCACATAAGGTGCATGACAACAATCCACCTAAGAAGGCATGTTGTCACTGTGGCCAGATCGGACTTGTCCAGAAACTGGCGCCACTGGCGCACGGGTTTTAACCGTGGAAAGGCACCCCCCTCAGCCACTGTCGAAACCTGGCCATCCAGGTTCAGAGACAAAGCCAGGGAGGGCCCCCAAGCTGCGCAACCTGTGTTTTCAGAGGTGGGGGGGAAACAGCCCTTCTAAAAGGGATGGGTCTCCCTCCGGCCACCATGCCCGCTACTCCGGCTCTCCTCCAGGCGGGTGGGGTGGGCTCGTCCTGCCGCGCTCGCTCGCACCAGCAGGCATTGGGGGGGGGGAAGGCAAGACGCACAATGACTCAGGATTAAGTTTCCCAACCTGTCGTTTGAGCAGGAAAGACAATCCGGCTCAGGGACGGAGCGGGGGGGGGGGCAGGACCCAGGAGTCCTGGCTGGGGCTCCAAGGAATACGATCCACCAACTCAGGCGGAGCAGGGGAGGAAAACCAAAACAGACCCCCCCCCCAAAAAAAAGTGACAGCTAGCTCACACCTACAGGGGGGCGGGAGGGCTCGCTCCTAAGGCAGTGAAAAGACCCAGGTGGACAAGCCACAGGAGGGGAAGCCACGGAAAAGAACGGATTCAGGGCACACACACACACGACAGCCCAGACCCCCAATGCGTCTCCCAGGGTTCACGCGCACACATGGTTTGGCACACAGCTTTTCCAAATGGTCATTCCAAGTTCTAATTTTCATGACTGTCCCTTAGGGCTTCACTGAAGGAGGAAAAATAAGGGATATGAACTGGTTTATTTATTTTTTTTAAATAGATCCATCACAGTCATGGAATAGAACCGTTCCAGCCACAAAAAGGACCACAAGAGTTTTAAAAGTACAGCTAGAACTTTTACAAACAGTTCTGCAACCCCCCCCACCAAAACAACCCCCCCCACACACACAAATTCTCATTTAAACAACTAGTTACCTCTTGTTCCTCTCTACCTAAGCATTCTGCAGACTACAAACCCCACTGTCTCCAGCCGGCCAGACGGGGATGATGGGGTTTGTAGTCCCCACCCCACCCCCCACCCCGGCAATGCGCGTCAACAGACGCCTGGCGAAAAAGCGGTGGCTTTTGTGGCAACACGGGAGCCTGACCCGCAGCGCGCCCCCGTCCACACGTTCGCCAGACTCACCTGGGTCACCATGACGGGTCTTCTGAGGGGGCGAAGGCGCGGTCCCAGCCCCGGAGCAGGGCCGGAGGATGATGGAAGGCCGCGGAAGAGGAACGGCGGCGGGA